GTCCATCCAAGTATAAACATTATACACTCATACCATTTATGATATTAAATTAGGACGAAGTAACGCAGACAATACCTACAAAAAAGTCTTGAAAACTGCACGTAATTCATAGAAAAAAAAGATGATGGAGAGATAAAGTTGAAAAAGGAAGAAAGTATTTTGAACCGGCAAGAACTGTCGTAGCAGTGTGATCACAAGATCATTTTCTGGTGGGAGTTCCAGGGGTCAACGCCCCCGAGGCCCAGTCCTTGACCAGACCTACCATATGAAAATATTAACAGGATCAGTGCCTGATAAACCAGGATGCTACTGCTGGTCGCATGTAGTCCAATGTATGAACCAGTCCGGCTGATCAGGTAATAACTTTAGGTATCTGTCCACCTTCCTCTTGAACATCAAAATGGTATACAATACCGACAGGTTGGTAGGTAAGACACATAAGGCAACAGTTAGTCGAAAGTATTCGACTGAAGAAGCCTACTGTGTAGGCGAAACGTTTCGGAATAAAGTTGCCTAACTGTTGCCTATGTGTCTTACCTACCACCTTACTCTTGAAGGCAGCCAGGGGTCTAGTGGTCTGTAAGCAACTGTCTCAGTACTCGAGTGCAACTGAGGTGCTCTGAATGATTTTTCGCGGAGTTAGGCAGCAACGAACGTTAGCTCAGCTTATTTGCAGCTACTGCAGACAAGCTGAGACAGAGAACTACTTGCCGACTAACAAGGAGTCCAGAGAACTTAAGAACATAAAGAAGGAATATTGCAGCAGGCCTACTGGCCCATGCGAGGCAGATCCAATTCTCCCACAGGCTTAAGCCAACGCCCTAACCTAGTCAGGTCAGGTCACATTCACTTAAGGAAGGAGCACGGCATCAGACCTAGTAACACACGCTAGTCAGGTCCAACATACACACACCCGCACCCACTCGTGTATTTATCTAATCTAACCGACTAACGAGGAGTCCAGAGAGCTTGCCGACTAACGAGGAGTCCAGAGAACTTGCCGACTAACGAGGAGTCCAGAGAACTTGCCGACTAACGAGGAGTCCAGAGAACTTGCCGACTAACGAGGAGTCCAGAGAACTTGCCGACTAACGAGGAGTCCAGAGAACTTGCCGACTAACGAGGAGTCCAGAGAACTTGCCGACTAACGAGGAGTCCAGAGAACTTGCCGACTAACGAGGAGTCCAGAGAACTTGCCGACTTTTTTTTTTCCTATGTCGAGTTCAATCTGAGTTGTAACTGCGAAAAAAAATCATCTGAACATCATGAAATCTGCATATTTCACTGTCGATAAATAACACTAAGTTTGCTTACTTAATTCGGGTAATATTAAGTCACATATTGCGTAGATTCTAGTAAGGTTAGGTAAGGTTTATAACTTGGGGAATGGGCAGAGTTAGAACGCATCACCGCCAAGGTTAGTTTAATATGTTTATTATGCACCCCATACCCATGGAAATAAATGGTATAAAATACCGACACAATGGAAATATAAACACAAATTGAAGAATTGAGACACTTATGCAACACATGGGAATCTTTATTGAAGAAACGTTTCGCCACACAGTGGCTTCATCAGTCCAATACAAAGTAGAAATGGGTAAGTGGAGTAGAAGTTCGAGGCAATCAGTCCCTCAACCTGGAATCGATGTGTTCAGTCCATCACTCTTGTAGGAAGTGCAGCATAGGGCCAGAGAGGTGGCTTATATACTGCGGTGAGATGAGTTGAAGTAGGAGGAGGCGGGATCACAGTGGGACCTGCCACTAGTGTAAGTAGGTCGTCGTCCAAAGGTTGGGCAAGCGTTGAAGTCTTTGTACCAAGATTCCATGATGTTGCAGTGTCTGAGAGAAGTGATGAATGGTTTTGAAAACCGACAAGTTGAAGAATTGAGACACTTATGCAAGAGTGATGGACTGAACACATCGATTCCAGGTTGAGGGACTGATTACCTCGAACTTTTACTCCACTTACCCATTTCTACTTTGTATTGGACTGATGAAGCCACTGTGTGGCGAAACGTTTCTTCAATAAAGATTCCCATGTGTTGCATAAGTGTCTCAATTCTTCAACTTGTCGGTTTTCAAAACCATTCATCACAATAAACACAAATGCAGTATAATGTGATCCTTTATTGACAACGTTTCACCCACACAGTGGGCTTTTTCAAGTCACACACGGATCTGAACATTAAAATGGTATAAAATACCGACAGATTGTTAGGTAAGACACATATGCAACAGTTAGGTATCTTTATTTCGAAACGTTTCGCCTACACAGTAGGCTTCATCAGTCGAGTACAGAAAAGTTGATAGAAGCAGAAGATACTTGAAGACGATGTAATCAGTCCATCACCCTTAAAGTTTTGAGGTGGTCAGTCCCTCAGTCTGGAGAAGAGCATTGTTCCGTTGTCTGAAACAATATGAAGTTGAAGTGACAGAATGGGGCCTTATATAGTGCCAGGAGATGAGACGTAGGTTGCTTTGGGAGGGCAGGTCCCTCTCAAACCCAGCCGTTCTCACTAGTAGAGGTTGTCGAAGTTGATGGTCTGTACCAAGATACCCTTGTGTTGCAGTGTCTGACAGAATGAACATTAAAATGATATAAAATGCCGACAGATTGTTAGGTAAGACACATATGCAACAGTTAGGTATCTTTATTTCGAAACGTTTCGCCTACACAGTAGGCTTCATCAGTCGAGTACAGAAAAGTTGATAGAAGCAGAAGATACTTGAAGACGATGTAATCAGTCCATCACCCTTAAAGTTTTGAGGTGGTCAGTCCCTCAGTCTGGACTGGACTCAGTCCAGGTGATGTCCATCAAGGACATCACCAGTAGTAGACAGGACAAGCCTCCATCCTCTGCAGGGGTATACATAATCCCTTGTAATGACTGCAACAAATTATATGTGGGCGAAACATCAAGAGACCTCCAAACACGTATTTCAGAACACCAATATGCAAGCAGGACTGACGATACAAGGAATGCCTGTGTACAACATCGCAATTCACACAACCATTTAATTAACTACAGAAACTCAAGACTTATAGCCACAGAAGACAACACTCAATACAGAAGAATCCTGGAATCATCGCTCATCTCTACAACCAACAATTTCAACCAGAACAATGGCTTCTATAACATAGCTGAACCACTCGCCAAGAAACTTCTTCATCGCTATCCCACATAAGAACATAGAACACTGCAGAAGGTCTACTCACAACTTGTCCAATACCCCTGCCAAGCTACCCAAGACTCTATAACCCCACCCGGTAGATCATCAGATGCAGCATTCTCCACCTGACCTCAACATTCTGAACATGACTATAAATACTCTCGTACCTTCCAACCCCAGGTAGATCCGTGTGTGACTTGAAAAAGCCCACTGTGTGGGTGAAACGTTGTCAATAAAGGATCACATTATACTGCATTTGTGTTTATATTTCCACCCCATATCCATCCTGTGGGCGGTAGGCAAAAGATTACAGAGGTACATAATTGGTCCAGGGACTGGACCCCAAAGTTTTGATAGCTGAGCAAGTTACAGAGGTAATGAACTCATAATTTACAAAGGTAATGAACTCCAGGTAGGTCTAGTCACAATTATGACAAGTTACAAAGGTATTTACAGATTACAGAGGTACGTAATGGGTCCAGGGACTGGGCTCCAAAGTTTGATAACTGAACTAGGTACAAAGGTAATGAACTCACAAGTTACAAAGGTAATGAATCCTGTAAGAATGGTTACTTACGTTTATACATGGCTACAATCATGAACAAATTCCAGAGTAATGAGCAATTCACACTTCCACACCCGGTCACAACTGTAATGAGTTATTGGTGCAAATGTTGATTGTTGAATCACACACATACACACCGCCAAGGAATGGAGGTTTTGTCACCCATCATTATCCACACACACACACACACACACACACACACACACACACACACACACACACACATATACAGTTCAGTCAACTCTGTTATTATTAGTAATATTCAGCGACACAACACTGATGGTGACAAGACACCTGACTTCCGGTGAGCATTTGCAGGCGATTTGTCACAAGTTGATCCATTAGTGGTCCCAAGTGGTCCCTGACCCAGGAGACACCACACCATTAGTGGTCCAAAGTAGTCCCTGGCCCAGGAGACCCACACCATTAGTGGTCCCAAGTGGTCCCTGGCCCAGGAGACACTCCACACCATTAGTGGTCCCAAGTGGTCCCTGGCCCAGGAGACACTCCACACCATTAGTATTCCGAAGTGGTCCCTGGCCTAGGAGACCCTACACCACTGCAGATCTGGACAATGTACAATGTACTGCACATACAAGTTCCATCAAACACCTTAACTACTGGTAATGCCTGAAAGCCCTTGAAATGTACACACTGGAGCGGAGGCAAGATATATACATACATACATATATATATATTACATTATATATATATATTATATATATATATATATATATATTATATTATATATATATTATATATATTATATATATATTATATCATAATCACGTGAAAGATCCTGGAGGGACTGGTCCTTAATCTGCACACACAAATCACTCCCTACGAAAGCAAGACTTGGCAGGGGCGCCATTGGCACACTAAGAGAAAACACAGTAAGTGTCCAAAACTGTTCAACAGCCTCCCACCAGCCGTAAGGGGAATTACCAATAGACCCATGGTTGTCTTCAGGAGGGAGCTGGACAGTTACCTAAAGTCAATGCTGGATCAGCCTGGCTGTGGTTCGTACGTTGGACTATGTGTGGGCAGCAGTAACAGCCTCGTTGATCAAGCCCTGGTCCACCAGGAGGCCTGGTCATGCACCGGGCCTCGGGGGCGTTAATCCCCGGAATGCCCTCTAGGCAGTGGCGAGTACAGTTCTGCTAATCACTAATTAGCAGAACTAACTTTTTGTTTAGCAGATGAGCATTTCCGCTAACTTCGGAAACAGCAGACCAATTAGCTTCCGCTAAATAAAGCTCCGCTAAAAAAAATTCGTGTTGTTGGTAGTCGGCAAGCAATGCTTTTTCAATGGCGCACGTGTTTGTTCCCGTCTGTTGTGGGCATTTCTCCAACAGTCAGTGAGGCATGCTATTAGCTGACTACGTGTAAACGTGACTTGTCAACGCAGCAGCATCTGAGCAGCACTGTTATAGTCCTATAATGCCAGCAATCACCCGGGTGCGTTGTCACGTATCGTTATAAACAGGGGAGAAGCTTCTGTTCCGCCTGAGGGTGTTGCTGAGGAGTCTGCAGCGGCTGTGGTTGAAGCAGAGGCCGCTCAGGCTGAGGGCCAGGAGTCGCAGAACCCGTGGCCCCACCTGGATGAGTATTTTGTCCTCAAGTCAAGGGATACGAAGAACGCCAATATTTCGTACTTCCTGTGGCTGAGTGCCAGCTGGCCGCTGCCTTCCACCCAAAGTTTCGCCTGCCGTGGCTGGAGCAGTATGACAACAACCAGGTCAGCCAAGTGAAGAACATCATGAAGACCGTCGTAGAAGCTGCCGTGATGGAGACCAGTGAGGAGAACACCACCACTAATGATTATGAAGGAAATGACTTAAGCAGCATCACTCATTTCTGGGACAGCAGAAGCGACAGGTCACTGAAGACGAAGGCACAGAGCATGAAGACCTGGCTGGAGACCGGCTCGAAGGAGGTCACAAGTGAAGTTGCCTTCTTGGGTGAGCAGGTCTTGATCGACCTATTCATTAAGTACAACACTGCCATCCCATCCAGTGCTGCAGTTGAGCGTCTATTCTCTAAAGGCAAAGATATCTTGAGGGCCATGACAGCCACCCTGTCAGATGGAAACTTTGAGAGGCTGATGCTCATGAAGGACATCCAGCATCACATCAAAGTGATAGAAAAGGCCCAGCCAGAGTAGTAATCAGTCCAGCCATCTTCTGATCTTGGCATGATACCCATGCTATGCTATTTGTACAGTAAGTAAAGTGTATGTTGGATTTCAACTGATGTTTGATTTCATTTGCTCATTTAAATATTTGTGTGCACCTGCATGTCTGGTGCAGCGATAAGTTGTGTGCACCTGTATGTCTGGTGCAGCGTTAAGTTGACCTCAAGTTTTCAACTTTAACCACGATTTTCAACTACTTGCTTGTAGTTTACTGGGTTCAAAATCTATATTAAGTTAAATGCAAACATGAAGAGAAACAATAAAATGAACGAATCCAACGAGTAATTGGAACTAATGAAGAAAACAGTCAAGTAAGCTAACTCAATCTGTTCCGGTGCTATGTGGCTTCAGTACAGCGACAAGTGTGTCCTTGTCGGTCGCTCCAGTTACATTACAAAATGAAACGATGACAATCGCTATTTTCACACTAGCGGCACTTGATCATCACATGACCCTGGTATTCTACATCTTATAAAGAAGCTCTCCAGGTCTGTTCTAAAAGTTTTAAAAGTAAAAGACCAAGAAACTAAACCCAATCTGAATTCATGTGTAAAAGTTAGCGGTTAGTGTTTAGCATTAGCTTCCGCTAATTTTTTTCGGCCTTTTAGCGTTAGCGAAGCTAACTTTTTGGTTAACTGTGCCCACCACTGCCTCCAGGTAGACCCGGTAGACACCATTAGCGGTCCCAAGTGGTCCCTGGTCCAGGAGACACCACTTCATTACTGGTCTCTGGCCCAGGAGACATCACACCATTAGTGGTCCCTGGCCCAGGAGACACTCCACACCATTAGTGGTCCCTGGCCCAGGAGATCAACCCTTAGTGGCCTGCCAGGAGCACCACACCATTAGTGGTCCCTGGCCAGGAGACACTCCACCATTGGCCTGGCCCAGGAGACACTCCACACCATTAGTGGTCCCTGGCCCAGGAGACACTCCACACCATTAGTGGTCCCTGGCCCAGGAGACACTCCACACCATTAGTGGTCCAAGAGAAACAAAGGAAATTATAAGTAGTTAAAAATTAAATCCAAAATATTTCTGAACAAAGAATGAGTATTTAAAAGATGCGGTGATTGTTCTAGTCTCAATTTTTGTAAGTCAGGTCAGGGCAGGATATATACTATCGGGTACCACTCTGGCCTGGCTGACGAAGCTCTCGCTTCACACGCAGAGGGGCCGGGTTCGATTCCCTGCGGGGTGGGAACATTTCGACGCGTTTCCGTGCACCTGTTGTCTTCTTCACCTAGCAGCAAATAGGTACCTGGGTGTTAGTCGACTGGTGTGGGTCGCATCCTGGGGAACAAGACTGAAAACCTCAGTGGAAATAAGACAGACAATCCTCGATGATGCACTGCCTTTCTTGGGTTATCCGGGTTGGCTAACCTTCCGGGGTTAAAAATCCGAACGAAATCTTGTATTATTACTGCCACCTTTTTTCTTTGAGCTTGAAGCAATTACGAGAGATTTCTTTGAGCTCTATTTATATCAAGGGAACTAGGACACTCTTGATTTGTTAGCGAGAAGATTGGATGGTCAAGAGACCCCCCCCCTTTAATCAAGGACCTCAAACTATTGTGCAGAGGCAAAACAGACAGATAAATGACGGCGATAATGACGGTCTAGTAGCTAGGAATGATAACCTTAACTCCATATGTAATACATACATAGGTCAATGTGAGATAATACAGCCATTATTATCTCAAACACTACCAAACAGGTGCTTACACTGTACTAAAGTACGCATGAAAAACAGAAAAGGCACCTTATGTAAAATGTGTAAGGGGTGGGTGCATGATGGATGTATGTACAATTATAGCAACGGTGCCAGAATTCATTTTGTGTGTAACAAATGCACTTTGGCACAGTTACCCTTTAGCAGTGATGGCATTGATTTACCTAATTTTAATACAAAGGACCCATTGCCATATATTGATGATTATGATTGTTTTATGAAAACAGGCCTTCACTTTATTCATGTCAATGCAAGATCACTTCTTCCTAAATTGGCAGAGATTAGGATTCTAGCTAACAAAATTAGGGCGGCAGTTATAAACCATCTCTGAATCTTGGTTGGATGATACGGTGACTGACGACGAGGTCAAAATAGATGGTTACAATATAAAACGCTTAGATAGGAACAGAAAGGGTGGTGGAGTATGTGCCTACATTAGAAATGACTTAGCTTACAACCCAAGACCTGATTTAAATAACAATAAACTGGAGATTCTATGGTTTGAAGTGCTGCTTCCTAAGACCAAACCCATCTTAGTAGGAACTAGTTACCGCCCTCCTATCCAGGACCAGTTCTTAGAAGACTTTTCCAGAGTCTTGTCCGGAGTTGAAAACAATTGCGAGACAATAATACTGGGCGACTTCAATATCTGTTTTCAGCAGCAAAATAACGGCTATGCAAAAGGTATAAGCAAATTCTAGGATTAAATAGTTACACTCAACTAATTAATACTCCAACCCGGATCACACAGTTCTCAGCCACCCTAATTGACCACATACTTTGTAACCGCTTTGAGAACATTAGTCAGTCAGGCGTCATTACCACAGGTCTTAGTGATCATTTCATCATTTACTGCACCAGGAAAATCACTAGGGATAGGATAGGCCTACACAGGACAATAAAAATGAGGTCAACTAGAAACTACAGTAAAGAAACACTGGTAAATAGGCTACACAATTGTGACTGGACAGTGATAAGTTGCACGGACGTAAACGATGCCTGGGAAAAATTCAAAACAATGTTCACTACCATTCTTAATAATATTGCACCAGTTAAAGAGGTTAGGATTAAACGAAGAACTGAACCCTGGATGAATACTGAGATATTAGATAATATGAAATTCAGAGACCAGCTGCTAAAAAGATTTAAAGCAAACAGACAGGATATTGCAGCACTAAGGTATGCCATGAAACATCTAAGGTGGCAAATTGCTTTAATTCATACTACACATCTGTTGCATCAACACTAGTAAGTAAACTACCAGCTGCATCAAATACCTTTAACACAGACTCTGATAAGTTTCAAACATACTATACCAATAAAGGGGTAACCCCAAACAGTTGTCAACTAGTAAGTGTATCTCATGACTTTATTCAAAAAGAACTAAGCAGGTTAAACCCAACTAAGAGCACAGGCCCTGATAACATCCCGTCTAAGTTCCTAAAAGATGGTGCCTCTGAACTGTCAATCCCTATTGCTCACATAATAAATCTATCAATCACCATTAATACCGTACCGGAGGGGTTCAAGGAGGCCAGAGTTACTCCTATCTTCAAGAAAAATAGTAGGTCTGATGTAAGCAACTATAGGCCTGTTAGTATACTCAGTATAATATCTAAAATTCTAGAGAGGGCGGTGTATTCTCAAGTAGTTAAGTACCTTAATGACAACAACATTCTCCATAGCTATCAATCGGGCACCTCCCTTATTAATCTGATGGATTACCTGAGAACTGAAATGTCAAAGGGGAACCTCATAGGTATGGTAACCTTAGACCTGCAAAAGGCCTTCGATACTGTCAACCGCAATATATTATGTAATAAACTTCAAGCTATCGGTATAGGTTCTGTAGACTGGTTTAAGTCCTACCTTAGCAACAGGAGACAAATAGTCAAAATCAACAAAACAGAATCAGAACCCCTGCCGATAACATGTGGAGTTCCCAAAGGTAGTATTCTGGGTCCCTTATTATTCTTATGTTATGTCAATGATATGCCTATCAGTGTCAAGTGCAAACTCCTACTGTATGCAGATGACAGTGCTCTGTTAGTGTCAGGTAAAGACCCACAAGATATTGCTAATGTTTTAACAATGGAACTGGAGTCCTGCAGCAAATGGTTAGTAGACAACAAACTATCATTACACCTAGGGAAAACTGAAGCCATTATCTTTGGCACGAAACAAACTGAGAAGGGTAAATAATTTTAATGTTCAATGTAATGGGGAGCCCATCACTTTGGTTTCATCAGTAAAATATTTGGGAATCCCCTTTGACCCATGCATGTCAGGAGAATTGATAGGGAATAGTGTAGTAAAGAAAGCGAATGCCAGACTGAAGTTCCTGTATAGACAAGCACAGTGTCTACCTACTGAGGCTCGCAGGACCCTATGTCTAGCCCTTATACAATGCCATATGGATTACGCTTGCTCTTCTTGGTACTCTGCCTTGACAAAAAAACTGAAAGATACCTGGAGGTTACCTGGAGGTTATTCCGGGGATCAACGCCCCCGCAAATCACCCAGAACAAAATCGTAAGATTCATCCTGGGGCTGGGACCAAGAGAACATGTAGGCCAGGATGAATTACAGCAGTTGGATATGCTGAATGTTGAAGACAGAGTAAAACAACTGAAGCTAAATCATGTTTATAAAATTGCTCACAAACAATGTCCAGAATATCTTGCTGTCAATTTTGTCAAGGTTGGGAACCAGAGCAATCATAGTACTAGGGGGAGAGAGCACAACTTTGTAGTACCCACAGTCAGTGGCCAGGCTTCAAACACCTTTTATTGTACAGCAATAAAGGAATGGAACAGACTGCCCGCACATGTCAAAGCCAGTCATAGCATGAACCAGTTCAAGAAGAGTGCCAAAAGGTGTTTGATGAATGTAGCTACAGAAAGGGAGGGGAATGATTTTCTATCTTTTAGCTAACATACGTGTAAATTTTACCTTATTCCTAGTAATGACCCTCGTATTGTAGATAGTCTTAATGACCTTGGTGTAGTAGATAATCTTTTTAGTATGATAATAAGATGTTATCTTCATTGTAGAATAATAAAAAAATATTATAACCTTCATATTATAATAATAAGGTAAAAGGACCCCAATGGAAATAAGTCACACTGTCTGACTTTTTTGGGTTATCCCAGGTTCTCTACACACATGCTGCTATGTATGATAATTCTATGTAACTGTATTTGTGTATACCTGAATAAACTTACTTACTTACTTACCCTCCATTCTGCCTACTGTTTGATTGGAGCCGGAATAAAACCCTCCGTTTTCTTTAATATGTTTCATTTTCCCCCTGGTAGTTAAGTTAATTTTGTAAGCATGGAGGAATGTTAGTTTTGGTCCAACACCGGAAGTAATTTGCGAATAACAGGAAAAAATCTTGAATCTTTTATTCCTGTTAAGATTCAAGAAAGAAAGAAAGGAGAGGAGAGAGAAAAAAAGGAGAAGAAAATAATTGCAAAAAAGAGTGGAAAAAGGAAAAAAGGGGAAAAAAAGGAGAAAAAAATTTAAAGAGTTTCCCTGTTCCTTTGCAGTCCCTTTCCTGTCCCCCGCTTTTTCCCCCAGTTTTTGCACTTATCTTTGTGTGGAACTGTGTCTATGCCTTCTTGCAGTTCAAAAAAATGCAATCCCCCCCACCCCTCTCTTTTGTCTTATGCTGCCACCAGTCATAAAAACCCAGAGGTTTGTGAAAAGTTTTCCCATCCCTAAAACCATGTTGGGCTTTTGATAGTCATTTTCCCTTTTTAGGTGTTCCACCCCTCTTCTTCTGATAATCTTTTTCCAGACTCTGCAACTATACTGTCAGTGACACGGTCTTAGTTTAGTGTTCATGGCTGTCTCCTTTTTGAAAATTGGGACTACATTTGCTGTCTTTCCTGCCTCAGGCAATCTCCCTGTTTCGATAATGTATTGAATATTGTTGTTAGGGAACATAGTGCCTTGCTCCCTCTCTCAGGACCCTGAAAAGAG